AATTTGGCTGTATCATCTCATATTTTCATAAAATATTAAATACTTGAAGGAAGTCGATTGAAAAAAAAAAACAATTTTGTTTTTTCAGATTGAAAATGACTTTACATTTTTTTCAGAATGTCGAGGCATTCGGCACCTATTTGGGTGTGTTACGTGTCTGTTCAAAGAGACAAAGGAAGGGTTCGAAGGTAGATGAGGTATGTTTCATTATAGTGTTGCTGTGTGACGTTACAATCGACTTTTAACAGTCGACTTAATTTTTCGTAACGCGATTTACAACTCTACTAATACAGTAATAAGTACAGTAGTGCGGATGTACTGTGGCATGTGGCAATACGGATGAATATTTTATTTTTTCTTTTCATTAATATTTTACATTACACATTTTTTGCTCTATGGTTTTCAGATGGATACGGTAGAACGAGGTGAGGCACATACCGTGGACGCATCGTCGATGAATTCTGAATTTGGTAGCCTACCCTCAATTGGTGAAATTGAGGATGAAGATGAACAGAAGACACCTAGAATGAGTGTCAAAGTGAGCCATCATTTTGCCTTTTGTTTACCAGATCGCTGATCATCGATTTTGAAAATATGAAAATAATTTAACAAGTGGGAGTTCATCTCATTTACGGTTTGAAGGCATATTACTTACAAATAATGAGACCTTGCTCCCGTGACCCCTGTGATACAAGTGATAGGACCTCTCCCTCGAGGTCCCTGAGGAAATGCCACCCAAACGACAAGGTTCGGCAGAACAATAAGTGTTTCAATGGAAGCAGAACAAAACAAAACAAAACAGAATTACTCTTCATATTCTTTTCGAATTTGAGAGCAAACATTCAAAATGGAAAGTATCAAAAAATTGGTATATCAAAAAAGCAAACAAGTGCAACCCACAGACCGCCGAGGGCCTAGGCCTGGGGTTACCCGCTCCAAATCCTAGCAGAAATCAACACTCATTAAATCGATTGCCGCGGACCTTTCAAGCTATTTGCCCTTCTTGTCTTTTTCTCTTCCCATTTGGGTGCTCAGCATCTCCCAGTAAATTATCTTGACCCTTGTCCTGTGAAGAACCGTCGACCAGGGAATGAAAGAGGTACTGCTTTGAGGGTCCTATAAGTCTTTCACTGTAATGTTATGAAAACAGATGGTAGAACTCTTTACTGCAGAGTGGAAATTTGATCTTGAGAACTGTATCTGCGTGATACTCACCCTCTTGTCATTGCGCCATCTGCATGTCTCCTGACTGGAGAAGGAAATCTCAATCTTGGTTTCAGGTCGCACT